AGTCAACATTTAGTTAAAAGGAGCCAAATGCAAGCTAAAAGCAGTAAAAAGGGTAGCTAAAGGCTAAAAATAACAAAAGGCAAACTAAAGTAGCAAAACCACAGCTAAAAGCAAAAATTTCTAAAATAGAAACTTTAAACATTTCAAAAGACTTGCTAAAAAAACTAATTAGAAAACACTAAACGTTAAAGCATCAAAAGGCTAGCTAARAGTTAAATGTWGCTAAAGACCTGCAAAAAGTAACAAAAGGCAAACTAAATTCGCTAAACTCTAGCTAAAAGCAAAAATGAGCAACGGGAGCTAAATGTGTCAAAAGCCTAGCTAAAGAACACTAAAAGTTCAAAGTAGCAAAATAATAGCTAAGAGCTAAATATAGCTAAAGATCATAAAACAGTAACAAGAAGACTGGCACAAATCTATAAATAGAAAMGTAAAAGCTTAAATTTTCAGCTAAAAGTAGTAAAATGCTAACRAAAACAGCAAGAGTAGCTAAAATCTCAAAGTAACAAAAGGCTAACTAAAAATATCAGAAGGGTGGCTAAAAATGAAAAGTAGGTAACTTGAAGAATAAAGTACCAAAACACTAAAAGCCAAAAGTAGCAGAACAGAAGRTAAAATTTAAAAGTATCAAAAGGTTAGCTAAAAGCAKCAAATATAAACAAAAACAACAAATATGATGAAGCTGTTTTCAAAGAGAACARCGCTTTTAAAAGAACTGAAGAAATCTCAGTGTATTTCCATGAGGAAAGAATTTGTCAATAAAGTTAACTATTTTGGAAAGTTAAAAGTAACAATTATTGTTTTTGAGCATTTATTTTCCCTTTTTCTTCCCATATCAGCTCTGGAGGATGAGTTGGACTTTGCCCTCGGGAAACAAACCCCTGCCTTTCTCAGGAAATGCGTCTGCTACATTCGCAAGATCTCCAACTTCGACCGCTTCGCCAAAATCCCCGACATGGCCCGCTACATGGACACGGTGGTCAGCGGCGATCGCGTCATGCGCAACCAGGAAGCCTACGAGCGCCTGCTGAAAGTGCGGGATGAGTTCATCCCCACGATCGTGGCAGCCTCCAACCTGCGCGTCTACTCGTCCGTCACACACTGCGACATGAAGCTGGGCTACTCGCAGGAAGTGGAGAGTCACTACGTGGAAGGGCTGTGCAAGCAGTTCTACGAGGACATGGTGGACATCATCCAGGCCACGGTTCAGCAGAACTTCGACACAGAGACCGACCCGCTGTACGACGAGCTCCTACAGCACCTGTCCCTGTGTAAGAGCTACGCAGCGCTCTATAAGTACAAGGCTGAGTCTCTGGATTTTGTGCAGGAGTATGTCATGCCGTCTAAGGGGAGCAGGATGTGCCCTCTGGTGGTGTTCGGAGGACCCTGCACCGGAAAGACGCTGCTGCTGTCTGAGGTGGCCAAACAGGTGAGACGAACTAGAAAGGATGTTTTGACTTCCTCCTTTTGTGTCATCGTCATCCTGCTTTCTCTTCGGCTCCCACGATTTGTTCACGGCTGTCTGTCTGATCCCAGCATGTGTCCATCTTTGGGCGGCAGAGTGTGTGCGTGTGTGTGGGGGGTGGGGGGTTGGGGGGTGTTTGCAACTGTTCTCACAAACGCTCGCTTGACCATCTGTGTGCCTGCAAAGAGGCTGGTCATGACCACGTGTCTTTTCCTTTCCCAAAAAGCTACAAGTCTCTGCACATTTGCACAAATTTTAGATTTTACTAGACAGTGGTGTGTTAGGATTTAAAAGGTTGAGAGCTTTGTGTGTGTATATATATATATATATATACTTGTAAGGCCCATTTTTCCAAAACACACTACCTTATGAGGACTAACGGTGTCCCGATACCAGCATTTTTACAAGTATGCGTATTTACAGTATATAAGATGCTCCAGTACAAATATTGNTATATATATATGTGTCTTTGTATTTGTTACCTTGTAAGGCCCATTTTTCCAAAACACACTACCTTATGAGAACTAACGGTGTCCCAATACCAGCATTTTTACAAGTATGCATATTTATATAAGATGCTCCAGTACAAATATTGATATTGATGATGATAACTATACACCACTGAATGTGTTGCTGTTTGTCAGTTCCGTGTTTAAAAAATACACAAGTTGAAAGAAACTATAATTTCTCATTTTTATTTATTTTAAAATTTTGCAACAGTATATGGAGTAAAACAAAACCCTTGACTTTCACAAAGTTTACAGTGTGCATACATACAAGTTACAAAGTATGTATGCGGAAGTTGGCCAACTTAGTTTTGTAGTTTTTTGCAACTACTTGCAAGTATTCACTGTTTTTAATAAAAAATCAGACATTACTTCATGATGACCGGCCTGATATGAAGTACCAGTTCTGTCTCTTTGACTACATAAAAACTGCACCAAGCAGTCCTGTAAACAGAGAGTATTTCCAAATGATCCACTGCTGACATTCATGTACCAAAGACGGTACATTCTTGGTACTTGTTAAAAGAAAAATATATATATTCTGGCACATCTCAAAAAAAATCCATGTGAATGCCAAGACGAAAGGTATGCAATCATATCAGGTGAAAAAACCAAAATATATTATTTTCTCAAACTGCAATATTTTACGTTTTATAAATCCGCTGCTGTCAAACCTTTGTCGCAGTTTGAGCCAGAAAGCCAAAAAGCTTTCTAAAACATATTTAAATTGAGAATCCTCCGCAGACAGAATTAGCTTTTCACTCTTTTTCTTTCGCCCTCCCTCAAACACACTCAAAGCTTAAAGTGGAACAGGAGTCATCAGTGTTGCCCTAAAAGTGTCAGATAGCATTAGAATGCCTCCTGAAATCTCAGCTGGGCTTTTTAATGAATTCATGAATGAAATTATGAGATCACTGAAGTCTCAATAATACGGTACTTCTCATCCGTAGAATACACATCAGTTAAAAAAATGAACTCAGTTTTTTGTTCTAAGGTGGTGAGAACATAAAAAAATTGAATTAATCAATTTCGCTTCAAATTAAAACCTTAGCATTCCTTAAAGGGCTGCAATAGATTTAAACTAAGATAATTTTGTGTKSAGAGATTACAGTCGGAGCCTTTTTGGTTAAMTCCTGAAAATAAGTTGTTTTTCATGCAATATTGCTAAATCTTGTGCAATCTATTTGCACCTGGAGTATATGTGTTGTAAAATATTCTAATGCCTGGTTCACACGGCAAGATTTTAAAATTGTTGGCTGATTTTCGAAGAGTAATAGAGCCCCCACATGAAGATAAAAAAATCTTATATAACAGGTTTGGTCCTACATACTGTACAACACACCACACATGAACATATTTCATGCGCAAACATTCAGATGTCAGACAGGAAATCTTGCAATATCAGATGTGAGTTCAAAGTAAATAAACAGCAGATGAGGAAGAAACAACAGTAATAGTTTGTGGACTTTCTTTAAAAGAGAATAAACAAAACAAAAAGACATCCACCGCACTTTCTGGTGCACCATGGTAGTTGTYTTGTCTTCTGTATTTTGGATTATCATCCATATTTCCGTGACCTCGCTTTCTGATTGGCTGCACATCACATTCAACAGGCTGTGAGCTCGTTTGTCCTCAGGGAACACCRYTTACTGGGATATCAGGCCGAAACAATCCAAAATGTTGAAAATCCACAATTTGAGATCAGAGTGGTCCCGACTTACTTCCGAGCTGACTAGATCACTCTKACCACACACAGTAGGAATATCTCATAAGATTATCTTCAGAGTCATCACGCTAATTGGGACATCATTAAGAAAGTCGGAAGGGCAAATTGTGCCAAAWTTTGGCACAATTGCTGTGTGAACCAGGAATGAGCTACTATCACAGCAAATATTAGCTCAATATCTGTACAGTTGACTTATTGATAACTGATTTTGTGTTTGGCAGCCATCTTGAATTGGATAAGACATGGGCAAACACATTGTCCGACTTTTGTCCTATTGCTAGAGTTACAGTTTGAATGTGGTTATGACAGAAAAAAATAAATAAATACTTAACCATTAAATATAACGTCCTTTACCACTCATAAAGTCATATGGATTTAAAAATGTCTTAAACATTATTCTCATGTTGTAACTTTATCTTCTCAATGCTGCTTATTTTTCCAGGCCTATACATGGCTTCAGAAAGAGATGGGTCCTGAAACTGATCCAGTGGTCATCGTTCGGTTTATCGGCTCCAGCCAGCCCTCCACAGACCTACGAACTCTACTCCAGAGCATCTGTGAACAGATTGCAATAAACTACCGCTGCCTGATTCACTTTTTGCCTRACAAGATTCAGGAGATGAAAGAACTCCTTATTAACCTTCTTGGTGAATCTTCATTCCATAGGCCTTTGGTCATCGTCCTGGATGCCTTAGAGCAGCTTTCAGATGCAGATGAAGCTCGCAAGCTGTGGTGGCTCCCCATACATCTTCCTCGCACTGTCCGCATTGTCGTTTCGACGCTGCCTAATAAGCATGGCATCTTGCAGAAACTCCGCCACCTCATCCACGATGAGAGGTACTACGTGGAGCTAATTCAGAGGGACCGAAAAGTCTGCAGCCAAATGTTAAAACAGCAGTTGCTTGGGGTTAAGAGGAAGGTAACCTCAGGCCAACAGATTTATGTCAACGAGGCACTCGCCAAGTGTACGTTGCCAATGTTTGTCAACCTCATCTATAGAGAAGTAGTTCATTGGCGGTCTCACAAGGACGTGGATGATAAATCTCTTTGCTCTACAGTGCATGAGAGCATAGAGCATCTATTCTACTCTGTGGAAAACAAGCTGGGCCAGCGATTTGTCTTTAGAGCATTAGGATATATCACTATGGCCAAGGCTGGGCTAACAGAAGTTGAACTAGAAGACATCCTGTCCCTTGACAACATAGTTCTCGGGGATGTCATTGTGGCCAGTTACCTCAAAAACCCCTTGAGGATCTCCTATGATTTAGTTGCTAAGCTTAGAGAGGAGCTGGAGGGCTATCTAGTGGAACGACAGGTGCGAAACGTCACACTGATGGTCTGGGCCAACAGGCATCTACACCTCATCGCCCAGAAGCTGTATCTTAGCAATGAAGAGGATGTGCATCAGATGCACAGCCTCCTGGCTGAGTACTTTTTGGGTGCATGGGCAGGAGGCAGGAAGAAGATCTTCACTTACGATAACAACCATTTCACTTCCTTGAACATTTCACATCACAAAAACCCTCATCATCAACAGTCCCATGAGAAAACCTCCTCAGATAAATACTCATATGACAGACAGACCCCCGAGCAGCCTTGGGTGTTCCAGTGCAACCTTCTGGAGCCTGACATTTTCTTTGTCAATCACAGAAAGATGACGGAGCTGGTGTACCACCTTACCAGGAGTGGACGCACGGATGACCTCATGTTTGGTGTCATCATGAACTTCAGCTGGCTATACACAATGATCAAGATTGGCCAGTTTGATAAGGCTTTAACAGACATTGATCTAGCTTACAGTTGCAGTCAAGAAAAAGAGCTAAAGTTTCTGGCCACTACTCTTCGTAGCATAAAGGTTAAAGTACTAAAAAACCCTGCATCGCTCTCTGCAGAACTTCAGCAAAGGCTTTTGCCAGTTGTCACCTCCCTACCAAGACTAAGACACCTCCTTCTGGAGTGTGACAAAGATGGCCCAAAATACTGCTCTATAGTGCCTCTCCACTCCTCTATGGATGTCACTTACAGTCCAGAAAGGCTTCCTCTTTCCTCCAGCTACATGCAAATTGTAGAGATTTTGCCCACTCTAGCCCCAAACATAGTTCTAGTAGCTTTAGAAGATGGATCTATCAGCACTTGGGATGTAGAGAGCAGGCAGCTCTTAAGACAGATTGACACAGCCAGGTCTGTTGTGCTGGGGATAAGGCTAACCACTGATGAGAAGTATCTGGTTGTTGCCACAACCAAAAATACCCTGCTCATTTATGATAATCACAAGTCTTGCCTTTTATCAGAGGTTGAAGTGAAGGGGTCAAAGAACAGTGGCGTCACTGGGGGAGTCGCTTTTATCAACGGTTTTACTCTTTCTACCCATCATGCTTTGGCTTGGCTTGAGGCTAGTAAAGACGTTAGCATCATTGATCTTGTGTATGGCTGGCCTCTTTACCAGTTTCATTGCTGGTATGAGGTGACTTGCGTCCAATGTTCACCAGATGGATTGTATGCCTTCTGTGGCCAGTACCTCAACACAACATCTATCTTTCATCTAGGAAATGGAGAGAAGTTGGCTACTGTAACATCTGAGTTTTCTGGGGGGTTTGTGAAGTCCATCCTTGTTCTGGACACCCTTAATCAAATGGTAATGATCGACAATGAAGGCAGTTTGTCAGTATGGAACACCAAAGAGGTTACCAACCCCAAGCTCATGGAGGACTATGATTGTCGAGGGGATGAGAGCGAAGTAGTGGGTATTGAGTTATCCGAAGATCAGCGTTCTATTCTTATTTGCAAGGTCTGGAGTATTGAGGTGCTTGACACAAAGCTCTGGAAAATGGCAGAGAAATTCAAAGCCAAACGTAGCGAGCGCTTTGTTGCTGCTGTTCTCTCCAAAAATGGTCAAAGCATCGTGGCCTCCATGGAGAACACGTCCTCCATTTTTGTCTGGAGGAGGGACAGTGGACAGTGCATGGCTAGCCTGATAGAAATCTCAGGGGCTATCGTTAAACTCATCAAATCAGCCCACCACAACTTGCTCCTTTCTGTTGCCAGCAGTGGAGTTCTGTCTGTTTGGGACATTGATATAATCACCGCCATGTCAAACATTGACAAAACAGGCAAGAAAATTCAGACATTGCAACTAACAGGCAGAGAGGACTATGTGTTTACCATGGATGGCTCTGAAGCTGTCCACAAGTGGAACTTTAGCACTGGCTTCATTGAGACAGTCTTCAAACAYGAGAGCATAGTGGAGAATTGTGTCCTGACCTCCTCAGGGGATCTCATGGTGACTTCAGACGACAAGTCTAGTCAGTACATTTGGCAAACCAACACTGGAGAAAACATCTTCCGCATCAATGGACAGAGAATATCACAGTTGCTGATCACCCACAACGACCAGTTTGTGGTGTCCCTCTGTGAGCAGAATGCCTCCAGGGTCTGGAGACTTGCTACTGGGCACAAAGTGTGTAACATTTTGGTCACACTCCAGAATGCACTGATCACCACAGCTAACACTTTTCTAGTGGGAACATCTAAGAATAAACTTCTTGCTGTCAGCCTATGGTCAGGCAGCGTATCAAAAAAATTTGTCTGTGATGATGGCATCACCATTGTCAACTTCAAGCTCATTCCTGACTGCCCTGACTGCGTAGTCTTCATCACGTCCACAGAGACCGTCTTCATCTGGAGCGTAGCAGATGAGTCTGTATGCAGGCGAGTCCAGCTGCCAACCAACTTCCTGAAAAATCTTGAGGACTTTCAGATCTCACCCAACGGGAAATTGGGAATAGTCTCCAAAGGTGATGAGAACATTAATGTTCTGGATCTTCATAGCGGAAAGCTGAGGCTTGTCCATGCAGCAGGCATAATCTGGCGTCAAAAATTATCAAGAGATGGACGTTATCTCGTCTATGTTTGCTTTCGGAACTGCGATGAGGACGACGATGCAGGCGTAGTGTCCAATCTGATCGTGATGCGCCTCGCAGATGGCAAGAGCATCGGCACATGTTCGCTATACAAGACTCCCACCTTCCTATCACTCTCTCAGCGAGCACTAAACATCATCATAGGCTTTGAGGATGGCAGCATTGGTACATACACAGTTGTGGACCGTGTGGACGCTGCCCTCAAGATCAAGATAGCCACATCCAACAGCCGACAGATTGTCAACAATGCCTCACAGAAAGTACGCCCCAAATGTGGCAATCATTCCTATAAGACTGTGGCCGACTGCACCTGGAGGGAGTCGACGGAAGTCTTCTCAAGAGACAGCCCCGTCAATGTGTCGGATTCCGGAGAGGGAGAGTCAACGACACCTACAAAGAAGACTGAATTGGTGCAGTGAAGTATGGAGGACAGGTGGAGTTAAGGAAAACAAAGGGGGAACAAGTGACAAAGTTTAGAATCTCTAGGGAATCGCAGTTGATTCTTGTTTACAGCCACGTGATTCAGCTGCAGATGTCAGCCCTGTGGGTAGTTAAAGGGCCGACGATTTAACGCTGCACTCAAACGATAGATTACTTACTTCCACTTTATTAGATTTACTCATAATGACTGTTCAACAACAAAAAATTAAAAGCATTAGTTTGTTTAAAAATGTGTAACATTTTACTTTGCCATTTTGTGTCTTTTTGCATTTGAAGAACAAAATTATCAAAAATGTCTTAGTCAAACATTTTCAAAGCCAGTCTGGTGGCCTTAGCCACTTTCATGATCTTATTTTCATTGTATATGTTAAGCCATAATGTTGTTAAGAGTATATTTACATTTGTATCAACATCAGGTGGTACTGTACAAAAAGGAAGAACTATGAACAAAAGTATGTACAGTCTCATTTTGGCTGCTGCAATTTGTGCAACTCCTTAAAGACGTTTTGTTGTGCTTAATGCAATCAAAGTGAGTGCCTGGAATTTAAAATGTTCTTCATGTGCAGATTACAAAGTTTATGAAAATGCAGGGACTTATAAACACAGTATACGCACCGTTGCTTTCTAAGATCGAGTCAACATCTGGAGAGATCCATGGCGTTGTTCTAAATAACGGTTACTGTATTTTTTCTCTGAACAGTTTACATAGATTTGATGTGAATTTCTCTGCAGTTCCATCAGTTTTGTGTGCAGGTCGTTTTTAAGGGGAACACCACTATTGAGCATACAGTGTAGCATAGCACCATACACATTAACGCCTTAACCTGTGTACTTGCTTTAGGTTCTGAAGAGTTTTACGTGTTCCAGAATAAAAAAGGACAGAGTGAGTTTTCCTAAAATAATCTGGCCAACATATTTAGAAGATTATTCATTAAATGGAAGCACTTTATGGGTGGTTTGTGAGAAATTGTTGAAGTATTTTTAGATAAAGTATAAACTGATGAAAATTATTTAGCTTTTCTTTTTAAAAATATATATTTGGTCTGCCAATTGAAACAATTACATTTGCAGGCAATTTTGAAATGCTACAATCTCCCAAAAAATATTTGGTTTGATTAAGTAAACCATTAAGTTGTTATTTAAATAGAAAACTCAGTAAGGGATCATTTTTTTATTTTATGTGACTAAACAAAGTCAGGGAAATGACAAGGAACATGATAATTTAAAAATATATAAACCCTGTGGCTGTATCACCCTAAAACAGAAATGCAAATATGAGGGTAAAAATTGTAGCTGTAGCAAAAGAAAAAGAAAAAGTTTTGATAACATCTGAGCACAGATTGAAAGCAGATGTTGAAAACAATAAACCCTTTCTGCAATTATTAATCATTTTGACTTTATTGTAACTTTTCTTTTCTAGCTTTACAAAAGGTARTGCAGGCTTTGAAATGTCCATTGTTAGTGCCTGTGTCCGACATTTCATACTAACATGCTATGTAGTTCTCTGCTAAACTAATATGAGGTTTTTTAACTGTGTTCAAAGCCTTAATACAAAGCCATTAAATCGCAAAATGCACACGATGTTTGAAAGCACTGGACGCRACACTTGCTTAAAATACAGAGAACACAGTAAAGTGGCATGCTAATAATTCAGCAAATTTTCGGTTTTGGTTAAAGTGTAAATTTTCAGTCAGCTGGGCGTAATATTAAGTGTTTTTGCCATACCAGTGTTGACACATGCACTCTACTGTTAACACCCTTCAAAGTGTCTTTATTTTAGCTTTGTTTAGTTTATTTTAGCTTATCTTAGCATAGTTTAGCAAGGCTTAATATAGCTTAGCTAAAATTAAGTTATCTTAGCTAGTTCCTTTGTAGTTTCTTTGAGTTGCTTGATTTGGTTTAGCCTAGGTTAGCCTAGCTTAGCTTAGCTTTGCTTTCCCCTGCTTGGTTTATTTTGTACAACGGGGTATTAAGGCCACACGAGATTTTTTATTTTTATTATTTAAAATTACGAAAATATAGTCATATTACGACATTAAAGTCATACAAAAATGAAGTCATAATATTATGAGAATAAAGTTGTAACATTACGAGATTAAAGTCATAATATTATGAGAATATAGTCGTAACATTACGAGATTAAAGTCATAATATTATGAGAATATAGTCATAACATTACGAGATTAAAGTCATAATATTATGAGAATAAAGTCGTAACATTACGAGATTAAAGTCATAATATTATGAGAATAAAGTCGTAACATTACGAGATTAAAGTCATGATATTATGAGGGAAAAAAATCATAATATTCTCAAATTAAAGTCGTAATATTATACCCTTTACACAAAAAAGCATGCAGTTACCATTGCATTAAAATGAGGAATGTTGAGGAACTTGTCGTTGTTCTTTAGTATTCCTAGTTAATCTTTTAGCACATTAGCATCAAAATATCAGTAGCAGGACTTCAAAAATTGTGCAAATGACTATATAATAAAGCTTTATTGTAATTAATGGATGCATTGGCAGCTTTAGTCGACACATAGCTAATTTGGATGAAAGCATATTGCACTACAGTGAACCGGCCAAGTCGTCGCGCACTACTTTATAAACACAGAGACATATGGCTGTCCAAGGTGTGAGGAAAAAAGGAGGAAATGAACAGAAAATAGATATGTCACGTGAGAATACGACAATTTTCATATTATGACTTTTTTTCATAATATGACCTTTTTTCTTGCAATAATATGACTTTTATATTCCTAAAATTATGACTTTAATCTCATAATATTATTATATTATGACTATTGTTGTAATAATAATAAAAAAAATATATTGTGTGGCCCTAATACTCCATCGTAATTTTGTATGTTAAATTTAGCTTAGTATAATTTAAACTATCTTAGTTGATTGTAGCTTGTCCCCGTTTTGTTTAGCTTAGTTCCATGTAATTTAGCTTAGCTTTGCTAATTTTAGCTCTGCCCTGCTTGGTTTAGTTTAGCATAAGTCAACCCAGCTTGCTTAGCTCGTCCCTGTTTGGTTTAAATCAATAGGYTTAGCTTAGCATAAGTTAGCCTCTCTTTACCTTAGCTTGTCTTTTTTTAGCCTAGTGAAGATTAGCTTAGTATAATTTAGCATAGCTTTGTTTTAGCTCATCTTTGGTTAGGTTTAGCTTAGATTAGTCTAGCTTAGCCTGGTCTGTGGTTTGCGTTARTCATTTTCAAAAATAAAGGTAACTAAATGTACAGTGAAGCATACATTATGTACATAGGAGTTTATAGTAAAAGCACACATAGTATGCATTTAGTGCATAGTATGGACTTTCGGACACGAGGTGTTGGTATCATCACACAGGCTGAAATAAAGATGTACTAATAAACAAACAGTATTTGGCATTTTTTGAGGCTGTACCTAGCAAGAAGCTTTCTACAAAGCATAACTCAAAATAAAAGTTTTTTTTAGCAGTTTTGAGTTTTTACAAATCTAATCTTTGATAGACACGACTGCAAATAAGATCAACAAGAACACAAACACTTTCACTCTGACATCTACCTTTTAAGGGCTACTCCATTGTATTCTGAGTTTACTCCTTTTAAACGGTTAATTAAGCCCTAGGAAATTTTCAAAACTGGTATTAAAACCAAGCTTTAAAATTTCCCAACTCAAGACTTTCTGAATCAAAAATATATGACTAATAAAAAGAATAAAATATCCTAATATGTAATTGCCAAAGTTCCAAATATAGTTTTAGTTTAACTGTCTCGTTTGTTTTTTTAAGCCTTGTACTGTAATTATAGTTACCAAATTGCTGAAGTGTTCGACTGTGATTATGTTTCTGATAGAAAAAAATGTGCTATCTTTGCAAAAAAAATTTAAAAAATAAAGTTTAAAAACAATCCTCTTATAAAATATAAAATATATTGGAATGCCAGTTTAAGAGTATATTTGAATGTGTCCATATGGAAGCCAGTAAATGGTATTATTGTATGTTATGTAACTTGAATGACTTTGAACAACTTACATGTTTGCAACTTATAGTTGACATACTGGTCATGAATGTTTCTATGGTATTCTTTTTATTGTCAGGACTGACTTACCTGTTTAGAGATTTATATTTTCATAAATGTTGTACTTACATTTTGTTACAGAGTTGTTTAACTGGAAATTAAACTAAAAAAAATTATGTCTGAAGCAATATGAACCTAGTGTGTATGCATTGTTTGTATAAAACATTTTAATGTAATAAAACGGTTCAATTTTTTGCCTCCACGTTGCTCTTTCTGGCTTTCATTGGAGTCAAAGTCACAGTTAGGCTCTTTGGGAGTCATGTTCTGTAGAAAGGTTATGAATAGTAAATATTTGAGTTTGAGTCCAGTTTGGTGAGTTTTAACTGATTTGGCAGACAACTTGGCAAAGCCAAAGCAGATTGCTGTCTTCTTAAAGCACGTTCGATTTCAATAATGTCCAAATGACGCTTGTAAAACGAATGGAAAAGTCTCACGTAGCAACATTTGTCTGGCCCATACAATGCTGTGACACTCAGCCCGGATACTGCAAAGAGTGATGACCATTTGGTGGTCCAGATGTAATTTGCCAGAAATGGGTCTATGCATGAGCCCGACCACATAAACCAAACCACAACTGGACCATTTGTGGCATGCCATCTTAAAAGCAGTGCCAGCTTGACACTATATTAGGCCCAGACCTGTCTCCTATGTGGGGCGGGTATTTGACACAGGTTTACTTTCTGATTGCCACTTTAAAAGATCCAACTTATCCCTTTTGTGGTTTGTAAATGCTCACAAGCAACCCAGTGCTGAATAACCAGCAGCTCTATGTTAAGCTGCAGAAAAAAGAAAGCCGGCTCACGTCGATTTTATCCTGCCACAACTCACAGCGTCAACACCCTGAAATACACCCAGAACAGAGCTGTGAAACGACTTGATAGGCCAGTAATTGCTACTTTGTGCTTGATTCCCAACGCCAGACAAGCGTGGTGAACAGTTCTCCGACGCTTGGCTGATAGTGTTGCGATCGTTCGGCGAAGCGTGTGCAAGGAAAAACCTTCACGGTGACCTGGGCCATGCACACACACACACACAAACTCGCAAAGTAAACACATTCAGGTTCAAGCTGCGATTGGCCAATAAAACCCTGTTGCTTTGGGCTACCATTTTAATTTCCCCAGTGGTGTCACTCTAAACGAATCTGTCTGTGTGAGCGTGTGCACGCGCGTGTTGTCTCCACAGCAACAACAGGTCAGCAGTGCTTGGCGGGCTTGGCCACGCCTTTCATTGTAATGATGGTGAGCTCATGTCTGTTGGTGCTGCTTCCAGTCCTTAGGACAACAAGGGCTCGACTGTCACAAGCAAATTCCACCTGCGGCGCTGCAACAGGCGTATAATTACACCGCTTGTTTGTTGAGCAGGATTTCTCAACAGGTCTGTGTACAGTCAAACTATATCTACCCAGGATTAAAATAGCCACTTTCCTGTCAGCGGCCTTAAAGTTCAAAGCAAAAAAAGCCTTTGTCATCAGTGTTTACCTATAATATAACTCCTACTGTATTCTCTGTTGAGAGGGAAGCCGTGTCACCCATATAATACTCCCTTTCTTTTTCTTTTTTTTTTCTTCCTTGCTGGCTGGCCAAATAAACCACGTGTGACTAAACACTTCAAAAGAAAAATGTGTTTTTGATGTGTTGTACCGTGAAGTTCTCATCTTACCTGCAGTAGAAACAGCTCAAAACGTTACCTGTTTATAGCATGGAGGAAAAGTTCTCTCAGGGTCGACAGGCTAAGTGGTCGATGATGTGTCGGMACATTTACAACCCTCAACTTGAGATCAAAATAAGGCAATAAATCATAAGATATGAACATTAGATAAGAATAAATCAGAGATAATGAATAATAAGGCATATTAAATACAGCCTCAAAAGAGAAGCACATTTAGGGAGCTGTCATCCAACTGCTCTTCCTCATTGGATGGAAGGATTTTATGCTCGAGGAGAGAGTAAGCAGTGTGGAATCAGTCTTTAATTGTTTGGATGGCTCACTGTATACACGGTTGTTTGTAGACGAAGTCCATGGATGGTTGCGCTCCACCAGGCGGGCCCATGTAGGCCAGTCCCAGTCTTCCTGAGCAGTCTTATGAAATGCAGTTCTGGGCCCTTTGGTGTGGGTTTAGTGTTTATATACTATTTTAAATCCAATGGGACGTGAAGGCTGAGGAACTTATGGCTGTCCATCCACTTTGAACCCCCTGGTGATGAAGAGAAAGCAGTTGAGCTCCCTTCCAGAAGTCAGAATGCTTTCCTTCGACTACAGTTCTGCTTTCAACACTAATCCACCAATAAAATTGATCCCAAAGATGCCCAACCTGGGGGTCCTGATTGCCTCCAGCAATTAGTTCCTAAAAGCCTTCGACAATCAGCACCAGATCTCTACAAAATTGCTTCCTCAGGCTCTTCAACGTCTTCATGCTTTACACCCACAACCGTTGTCTCCAACAATAACGACACAGTCATCATGAAATATGCTGACAACACATCCTGGGCCTCATGAATAAAGGACGAGGGACAGTATTCTGACCCAGGACATTATCACTAGCTTATGTTCTGTTACAGTCCAGTAACGACATCATCCACTGACCTGTTCAGACAGGTGAACTGTAGCTTAGATGGTAGAGTTTGGATGTGAGAGCAACTACTTTTCCAGACAGTTTACGGCTACTGGAGCACCACTGGTCATTGATGCGTCTGGTCTCTGGGTGACGCTTCCTTCTGGACCTGCTGTCTTACAGAGATTTAGGACCTGGGTGAGTGTGACTCAGTTCCAAAGTGTTACTAGGAAGTTTCGGTGGGTGTTCAGTCTGTCAAACCTGTCATAAAATGTTGAGACTGACTGGTAGGATGGTGTCTCCAGGACTGACTGGAAGCCCAGAGTTTCAGGAAAACGCAGCCTTATAAGCACTGTTGTCCCCCTCCTACAATGATGCACAAGGACCTGCCACCTAGAGCTAGTCGGTTCCTGATCTACCCAGGTTAATGATTCGAGTCCTCACACTGAATCAGGTCCCTCAAATCCAAGGTCTAAATTAACAAGAATCCTTAAAGTTATCTGGCAAACTATAGATTACAGTCAGCGAGTAAAATTTTTTTAAATGAAAATACGCAAATTAGCAAACAAGAGAAAACAAAACAAAACACAGAAGCTTCACTGGATATGCTATGGACTGGGATCCCTGTTAGCTCCCCACAAATGCCTCGGACTCACGAGTTCGGTCATTTCTGCAGGTTAATAAACAATCATGAAATGCTGCGGACTCCACGTGAGGCACACATAGGCATGTTTACATAGATAACATACGTGTAACACAAATGGTTTATTTATTTATTTTTTTGACATCTCAAGTTTGGTTAAATCATCTGTAAGATGTTTGTTCATATATTTGTGTGTTAAGTTATAACTGTTTTATGTATATATAAATACATTTTTAATTGGGGTGGTGAGTTGCTCAGTGTGAACGACTCAAATGAACCAGGTTATTTTAGTCATTGACTCAGATTAACTCGGTTCCATAAGGATTTACCAGTTCTAGTCATGACTGGGTTAGTCTTTGGTAGGTTTGAATAAAAATGGGGCTCAGCTGAGTTAGTATTCTTTACAGTATGTTGCTGAGGCGAGTCAATAACAGCACAACTTACGTATTTCTTCACTTTTATCTCGTCTTGTCTCACATCTCCACACTGCATCGAGCCTAGACCTGAGGAGAACAGATAACGGCCCACGAGCCCTGACCTAAATCCTCTGAAGAAGAAGATACGACACTCCGCTTTGATTTCAGGTGATTTGTAGGAAAGAGCGGCTTGTTTGTGATACTTCAGGTTGGACAGATGGGAGTATCCTGGTTTTGTGAATAAAGGTTTGTTTTGACTTCCGCACTTTGCATTCACACTGCGGTTTCACCGAAAAATACCATTTCTGTAGTTCTAGATTTATTCCCAAAAATCTCTGTTGTAAAAATAAATGTTTAAAAAACAAAAAAGATGGCAGAGGCAGTGAAGTGAAAACCCTCTCCACAGGATCACTGGTTCCGTCTTAGAAAACGTCTTGGAAGGCTCTGTTTTGCATTCGATGTGTCACATTTCACTGTTTTGTGCTGTTAGATGGCTTCCTGTTGGCTGATGCCTAAACAGAAAAAAAAAACCAAAACATTGTGTGCCTATATCTGAAATACTATGAATAAAAATACAGACACATTCTGAGAAGCATTCACTTTTTTTTTTTTACAAATACACGTTAATAATCACTCAGTAGAGAACGTTTAACCTTCATTCGTCGTTGCCGACCTGCATGTTCTTTGCTGTTTGCTTTTATGTTCAGTGTTTTTGAGTTATTTCAGGATGAGCTGTCTGTGTGGCCATGTAAACACTCAAACCGGTTTTTTTGGATGTGTCTTCAGGAGTATTTTTCCATCACAAAACACAATACACAGAGAAACTAACTGAATTCAGGTTTAGCCTCAGAGAGGCGCTTAAAGTGTCAGTTCAAGACAATGAACAATAAACATCTTACCTGTTGTAGAAGGAGCTTTGCTCCATTTTGGAGAAATAAAGTTTCACTAGCTGACTCCAAACAGGATTGATGCCATCTTACATTGGTGGGCACAGTTCCGCTAAACCGCTAATAGCAGAACAATCTTCTTATTTAGCGGATTAGCTTTTTTTGCTAAATTTGGAAACCATTAGCAGGCCAATTAGGTTCCACTAATTTTGAGCCCAATAAAGAAATTCACAAGTGTAAGACTATTTTATTGCATTTATCCTGAGTTAAATAAAAACTATCCCCTCTTACAAGCAGTGCTGGACGTGTCAGGCACCGTGTGTGTTGCATGTAGCATCTTTAGCAGCAAAAACTTCAAAGTAAGAGCATCAAAAAGAAATTAAATAACATTTAACAACATTCAAATAACAAAAGCAAAAATTTTGTCATAAAATATGGCAGAGTAAGTATTTGCTATTTGTTGTTTGATTAACTTCAATTGTGATGAAATACAAACTTGATCAAAGAAATGCTTTTATTCTGAAATGGTTAAACTGGAAGTGTCACAAGTCAGAAAGCTATAGCTCATTTGGATTGGCTAATTTGCCACAAATGATCCCACCCACCTGATATCTTAGCGATTAGCATTAACCTACATTATTTCTGCACCTGTTCAGCAGAAGCTAAACAGCTAATATTCTTGTTTAGCGGATTAGTGGTTATTGAAACAAACTTTTTGGTCAGCTGTGCCCATCACTGCCATCTTACCTTAAACTGTTATTTACAGAGAATTCAGTGGCTATTTGCAACCACAAATAATGGCACTATCACCTAGCTGTAGCACTTCTGGTGCAGCCTGGGTCACTTTAGACAGAAATCCCGTAATATTTCCGTCACAATAATGATGCAATGTGAAACTGATGAGGATGTTAGGAGTTACAAAGCAGCATTCACATGAACTACTGTCAATTTTTTAGATTGAATTGTTTTACGTCAAAATATATCAACTTTGACCTTTGTCCTGCTCAGATTTGCAGTTAGCACATCAATATCAATATTAGACTTTCTTTTACAAAGTGATGTCATTAAAAGAATCATCTACAACTGGTAGGATAATATTTATTTATATCCTTTCCACAGAACCCAACTTCAAAGTTTTGATTTTTGAGTCCCAAAGTAATCTTTGCACCCAAAACCATTGTTAATTTTTTAAGTGTAGTGTTTTTTTTTCTTTTTTCCAAGACTAGTTTGAGTTGAACTTTTGAATGGTGAACAAGTGGTAACGAATTATTTCACCCTAATCACATCTGAGTCATATGATCATCATGAAAAGTAAGAAGGCAGCTGAGTTATGTCAAGCTGAATGTGTTCACAACAGGAAATTATAAACAGCTAAAAAATATTAACTTCAGGTGTGGGTAAATAAGTAAATTAAGGTCAGCCAGAAGAATTTCATCATCAGTTACTGATGCTTTTTATGACGTGAAAGTTTTATAGTGAACGTCAAAGTCAAAATTTATTTTATAGGAGGATTTTAAAACATTAAATAAAGCAACCACAAAGGTTTTCACTTTAATTGCATTTTATAAATCCACTAATTTGTTTTAAATGTGTTACACAGTAAACTAGACTTAATTGATGATAATAATGCTTTACAGATAGTAAAAAGTTTAAAAATTAAAGACAGACCAGACCAGATACACATTTTGAGGTGTACGGTCGGCTTTTATTGTGAAACGTTCCACCGGAAGCAGTTTTCTGTAGCTCCGCTAGCTTTCCACAGTGTAAACTAACTAAGTTAACTAACTCATCAGCAGTTCACTCAAGACATGGGACCGTGGAGTCACCGAGGAGGGGCAACTCTTCTCAGGGACTCGACTCAACAACTCGTAGCCGCAGAGATACGTTTCTTTTAACCTGACGTTACTTTTTTTTTACACCTGCTTTTATTTTCATGTTTTAATGAAAAGGACCGGAAGAGACCGAACACGTTCAATGACATCCGTGTGTTTTTGATACCTGAGGCAAAGTGCCACACCTTCGCTCCGTACAGGTGCGTTCAAACTGCGCTTTTTATGTCATTTTTGTTTTATATTACGTCCACCTTTGGACTTACTGTACACATATTGTCTTGTTATTACGGCTTAGCTTCGACAGGTGGATGACTTGTCGACCCGAAGAACGAAAACATAGAAATAAATAAAATGCGCCGCCATTTAAAAAAAGTAATAATAATTTAACTGCTAGCTAACAGCTAAATGTATAGTTTCACTGTAAAGATGTGCACTCTGAATGGCTTTAAAACACTATAAAATGTAATTAATGCACGATTAATAAGGAGTAGCAGGTGTTAAAGTCGTGAGTCTGAAAAGCGCCAGTAGTGTGTAGTAATTGTGTGTTTATTGATGTTTGTTAGTATGAAAACAAATAGAAAATGTTTGTGGTTGTTGTGAATGGAGGCTGGTTAGTGTTGATGGAGGAGGAAGAGGCTCTGATTCTGAGCAGCCTTATCTGCAAACATGTTAGCTGCCCTGCTGAACCCTGGACCCAAACACTGTCCGGTCCTCCCGGCTTGCTTTGGCCCGTGTTTCTGTGAGTCTGTCTGTTAGCAAAATACAGCTGGTAAAATAAGTATTGAACACGTCACCATTTTTCTCAGTAAATATATTACTAGAGGTGCTAATGACATGAAATTTTCACCAGATGTCGGTAACAACCCAAGTGATCCATACATACAAAGAAATCAAACCATAAATGTCCAGAAATGAAGTTATTTGTAATAATGTGGAATGGCACAGGGAAAAAGCATTGAACACATGAAGAAAGGGAGGTGTAAAAAGGCATGGAAAGCCAAGACACCAGCTGAACTCTCTCAGTAATTAGAAAGCAAGCCTGCCCCTTGTCAGTGCAAGTTAATATCAGCTGGTTCAGTCCCAAATGATGGCCAGGTATCACACAAGAACCATCTGATGATGGGTAAAAGTAAAGAGCTCTCTCAAGACCTTCACAACCTTATTGTTGCAAAGCATAATGATGGCATCGGTTACAGAAGAATGTCTAAACTTCTGAAGGTTCCAGTGAGCACTGTTGGGGCCATAATTCAGAAGTGGAAAGAACATCATTTCACCATAAACTGACCACGACCAGGTGCTCCTCACAAGATTTCTGACAGAGGAGTGAAAAGAATTATCAGAAGAGTTGTCCAAGAGCCAAGGACCACTTGTGGAGAGCTTCAGAAAGACCTGGAATTAGCAGGTACGATTGTTTCAAAGAAAACAATAAGTAATGCACTGAACCACCATGGCCTGTATGCACGCTCACCACGCAAGACTCCACTGCTGAAGAAACAGCATGTTGAAGCTCCTTTAAAGTTTGCTGCACAACATTTAGACAAGCCTGTGTAATACTGGGAGAATATAGTCTGGTCAGATGAGACCAACATTGAACTGTTTGGATGCCAGAATACACATCATGTTTGGAGGTCAAATGGCACTGCACATCAGCCCAAAAACACCATACCAACAGTGAAGTTTGGAGGTGGGAACATCATGGTGTGGGGCTGTTTTTCAGCATATGCTACTGGCAAACTGTTTGACTGTTTGTGTGGAAGAATGGGCCAAAATCACACCTGAGCAATGCATGCCACTAGTTTCTCCATACAGGAGGCGTCTTGAAGCTGTCATTGACAACAAAGGCTTTTGTACAAAGTATTAGATAAATTTCAGTAAGYGTGTTCAATACTTTTTCCCTGTGCCATTCCACATTATTACAAATAACTTCATTTCTGGACATTTATGGTTTGATTTCTTTGTATGTATGGATCACTTGGGTTGTTACCAACATCTGGTGAAAATTTCATGTCATTAGTACCTCTATTTACTGAGAAAAATAGTGACGTGTTCAATACTTATTTTACCCGCTGTGTCTCATGAGTCACTTACTGTATGTCCATGTACAGCTCATTAACTTTTGTTGCCTGTCTAATTTAGCTAAGTGACATGAGCCAAGTCAAAACTGGGGATAACTCAGACACTTTTAGATACTGAGCTCATTAAAGTTTGTGGGAAAATGCATTTCTTCACAGAATACTACAGCTTTAGTTACAGTTAAAGTGTATTGCACGGTATATAGTAGTGTTCGTGTAATCCAGCTCTGTGTGTGTGTGTGTGTGTGTGTGTGTGTGTGTGTCTGAAACCTGCTCTCTGAGCCCCAGGCAGGTAACATTTCCCAAGTCATGAGAGCCGTGTGGTTTGCTGAAACAATTTTGTTGTCTTTAGTGGCCGACTCCACCTGTCAGCAGCTCATTAGACAAACCAAGGCATTAAAAGTGGATGTAAATCCTGCTTTGCCCCGTTTGTGTTGTCACTTGGCTGCTGCTGCTTGTCGGGCTGCACGGGAAGCAGCATTTAAACGTGAGCTTTGCACCCTGTTGTTTACATCGAACAACAAACAAGCTCAGACAACGTGTGAGAGATAACGATGAGTCGTTCTGGAATCGCAGGTAAACCGCCATCATGGTCACTCTGAAAATAGCACGGAGCACCGTCACCCTTACTGTGTGTGTTGAGGATGACTCTCAGCTACTACCACACCGGATTACAGCTAAGTATTTTGTAGAACCGACTGAGTCATAGTCTGAGTTGGCTAATCAGCTGTGAACTGGATTAACTCTAAAAGTTAATCAGTTTGTAGATCGATTGTTTTCCCTGCAGCTTTCATTATAAAGTAGATATTTTGCTAACAGACACAGGCAAATAAGGCCTTTTGTCTTTTTGTTAAAAGGCGATAAGCAAAAAAAGTGTTAGCTTTTGAGAAAAACGTGTCCGTCTTGTTAAAAGGACAGTTCCAGTTGTTTGAAGTAGGGTTATAATGTACATCAAGGTGGTCCAACTCAGTTCAACAGGGGGCCAAAATCAAAAATGGGATTCTAGCAAAGGGACAATTCAGCTTTTGGAAAAGGATGTATTAATCTTGGCTTTCAGATTAATGTATTAAATTACTTGTATATAGATTTGGTCAGTATATCTTTTGGTCGTTGGTTTTTCATTTTGGAAACGGGTATTAAAAAACAAGAATTGAGTGGATATTTGATTTTTGTTTCAAAATACTGAAATTAAAATTCAAACAAAGCGTTTCTCATTCTTAGTGTCAAAAGGGGATGAGCAAAATTTTTTAAATGATTTGAGTTTCATTTTCTGTTTCAGATAGCAAAAAAGAAAATTAGTTTAAGGCAGAAAT